TCTTTGCCTGCCACCTCTTGAAATCAACACCGAAAAACTTGGCCAGTTTTTCCGCAGGTGCTGGTGCAGGAGGTCACTGTGGGTACAGCCACAGGCATAACAGCAGTATTTTCAGTCATTTTCTGAAAATCAGAATACCACTTTTTAGTATTAAAACTAAAAATATCAGAATTTTAAAACCTTACGGTAATAATTTCTGAACTCGATTATTTAACCACGCGGATAATAATCTCAAAACTTCAATGAGGAAACCATAAACTATTTAAGTGTTATTTAGATCGTTTCCAGGTAAGAGGGAGCCAACTCTAGATATAGAACGCATAATTATCCAACCTCTTTCCTTGGCAAAACTTTCTCACCGCCAACACTTACATATTTTTTTCGGCTTTTTTTTCCGAAATTGAAAAACTTTACTTTGTCTCCCCGGGGACGAAAGTTCGTTTTTCCACCAATAATAAGACAATATATAATAACACAATACACAGTCATTTCCTTAAGCTTGTTGGGTGTGTTATTTTATATGTCTCATATTCATGCATGGTTAACTTTCAATTTCATACCAAGACTTTCGATTTTAATAACTTTCAGAACATACAATCAAATCATGCATGCTATATACCATTAGAAAGATAATTTCGATATCTACGAAACGATATCAAGAACATGCAATTCTGATAACAGTACAGAAAGTTATGATCAAACCAATATCATTAAATCTATATGATTTTTTAAAACCGGAAAACCAAATCCGAACCCACGACGAACCGTGTCTCCTTAAGGAAATTATTCCCTGCGCGGTACATATGGTTAATGGAATATATCCTCTCAGGATAGGACGGACGTACCTCACCGGAGCAGTGGTACTACAAACTTCGGTGCCTTGTCGAACTCAAAGAACGGCTTGAATCACAAAGGGAAAATATATGTTTTCTTTTCTTTAGAAAACTCTTGTTTATTTTTCTTGGTGTGTAAAATGTGAAGACAAAGTCTCTATTTATAGGATTGAAAAATTGTAAAACTCCCAAAAGTCATAAATATTTTTGAAGTTTTAGAATATAAATGTGGAGAATAACATACAAAAATATTTGTAGTATTTCATATGTTTAACTCCAATATCTCGCAATATATTTATTCAAAAAGAGAAACATTAACCAAAAGACATTTACGTAAATATATTTTGGTTTTCCCAAAAACATTAGATTAAAGATGAAGAACATTAGATTAAATATGAAACATTCATAAAAGATCTAATAATGAATTAACGATTCGAAAAACAACAATAACAAAATACTAAACATTACAAAGTTGAACAAAGATAGAAAATGTTTAAACTTAACTCGATCAAACCCATTTTAAATCAATTGAAATGTTCAAATACGACATAAAAACAGATCTTTTGAATCTAAAAAACCCTTAAATTCATAGTTTTGCAAATGGTTACTCTGTGCATCTAAAAATGAAACCGTTTTTTTAAGAGAAAGAATCCAAAGTCTACGTGTACCTCGTATTCTTTTATATATATATAATTTAAATCAAGAAAAAATCTATAAGCATTGAGTCCTAACATTAATTTCTTACATTATTTTGGAACATATTTTATTCTTTCATTAAAAAATATGTTCTAAAAGCTTGACAATAATTACGTATACATCTCTATAATCAATCCCATCACTAATTTCTTTATTTTGGAATACCACATTAAAATTATTTGATTCTGATTAAAATTTATTGAATCTAGTTTTAAATTTTTATATTCGTATACTCATGTTCATATTTGTATGTATAGATTTGAATGAGATTTATTTAGATAAATAATATATTTTATTCTTTAAAAAAGAAATATATTTTATGATGGATATACTCTCCAAGAACAATCATAACACAAAACCCATAAGTTTGGAACTATATATATATATATATATATATATATAAAGAACAATAGAAAGAGAGAGAGACCCAATATTTTTTACCACATTTTTCCATACATAAAACCCATAAGAGTTAAGACATCTTACCATAACTCGTATATGTTTCTCTCATGCTTCGTTTCTTCTATTTTAAGACTATACATACAGATATATATATATATATATATGTGTACACATACAAACTTTTTTACTCATCGGAACACATATATACGTACATACACCCACATACATATTATTGATGTGGAGTAGAGAGAAGAGAGAGAACTGTCTACATTTCTAATTATAAATGTAGAGAACCTCATACACAAACAGAGCTAAACTGTTCAAATATATGTGTTAGAAAAAATTTGCTACTCTTGTTCTATAAATAGTGTCTGTTGAAAATAAAAAGAAAAAAAAAACTATAGTCGTGAATAGAAATCATACATATATTGAATTTGAACGGGTAACTGGTCAGAAACCCTAACTTTCCCCATCCTTTTTTTTTATGTATCGAGATCCCTGTAGTACACCATGTTTGGATTGGTGTATTTTTCTTTGATATTATCTTCCATTAAATCGATCTCATGTTTCTTCCATAGATTCCTAGAGAACCAATATTCCACATATCGATGATTTTTCTATTCAGATCTTATGAATTATCATTGGACACACACTATTAGATATCTCTACAAACTCTCGCTTATTTAGAGAGAAAATAAAAATTTAATACATTGAACATAAAAACCGTTTTTTAATTAGGAATTGATTATTCAATTGACTGAAAAATCTGCAATATTATAATAAGGAATTAATTATTCAATTGACCAAAAATTCTGGAAAAAAATATTTCATATTCTAACAAGGGACACGTGTCTCTTCCATATTAATCCACTATACTTTTATATAAGATAAGATTGATGTGTCACAGATACATTTTTGAAGATTTTGTTATTAATTTCCATAAATAAAGGATTCATTCGATTATTCAAATATTTATTATTACCATATAAGTTTTATTATTTTGGCGATTTGATCACGAAAATATCTATAAAAAAAAAGAAATAGAATCCCTCAACAATTAAATACTAGGTATCTCCAACCAAAACAGTCAAGTTTCAGTGGATGATCTTATTTTATTTCCAAAAACAAAATCCCCGTAATTTCGTCTCTATTCAATTTTAACCCCATCGTTTTCCTATAAATACTCTCCATCATCACCTAGAGTGGTCACAAGTAGGCAGCTACTACATATCCTAAATTCTAAGCTTATCATCAGCAGCTCTTCAGCATTCAGCAATGGCTAACGCCTGCAAGCTCCTCGCCCTTGTTCTCTTCTTCGCCCTTGTTGCCAAAGGTACACATACGTACATATATATATATATATATGCTATGATGACATGCACATGATCGATGTGCATATATACGTGCAAGCCACATCAATGTTCCGTTTCAAAATTTGGTCCATATCAAAGAATTCTTTGCATCCAAGATCATTGTTCCTACTACATTTTCATCTATATTGTACGGTAAAACATAAACATAATAATATATCAAAGTGGCATCGTATTATGTTTTGTCCTTAACTATGATCACTAAAGATATATTTGTTTTCACAATATCGAAATATTAAAAGCTAATTTCGCCGGGTTTTTTTTTTCGAACGGGCAGGATACGGGCAATGCTCGGTGGATAACCTAAGCCTGGGGCAGGCGAAGACGGGGCAGACGGTGAACGGCAAACCCGAGTGGAAAGTGAGTGTGAAGAATCCATGCCCATGCACCGTTATGAACTTGAAGCTGTCTTGTGTCGGGTTTCAGTCTACGTCTTCTATAGACAGCTCTGTTATGTCCAAATCAGGCGATGAATGTCTACTCAACGGCGGCTCCCCTCTTGCTCCTATGTCTGTGTTCTCTTTCAACTACGCTTGGGACTCCAGCTTTGATCTCACGATCCTCTCCGGTCAACCCCATTGTTCTTAGATTTTTACTTTATACTCTTATATATATATATATATATATATATAAGTATCTTTTTCATCTTCTTGTTAGAAAAAAAAAACATGAGATTTTGATTTGCAAAATCGTAATAAGAGAGAGAGCGAGCGGTTTATGATATGTCATTAGGGTTTTAACGGCTTGAGTTGTTACAATTTATTTGAATAAACCCTTGTCGATAATCAAAATTACCCTATTCTCATGCGGCCGAGTGACTCAAATTCGAATTCAGATTTATAAAACAAAGATTAACAATAAAAGGGGATATATTTTATATAAATATGCCCGAACTAATTACATAAAATCATTATATTTATATATATGTATATGTATATATATGTATATATATGTCAAAATTTATGATTATTTTTAAATTTGAAAAACATCTCTGATATTTATTAAACATTATATAATTATTTTTAATTTTTTAATAATATTTGGATTTTGTTACCCGAATTTACTTGAACATTTTATGAGGCTGGACACTCATAAATATAAGATTGGATTTTAAATACTAATACGGGTATATACCCATTAGTATGATCGCTTTGTGTAACAATTTGGGTATATTCGTAGAATTACCCTTTCCATTGAATTTTTTTTTTTTGAAATAGAAAATATACATTCAGTTTCCTAATATGTATAAGTTAATTGTTCTTGCGACGCACTATATAAATATGTATTTCCTTATTCGTTAAAATGCACTTTCCATTTTTTTATGAGATTAAATCTCGTCTCATTAATGACAAATAAATCTATTAATGGAATATACACCCATTGGTTTCTGTATAAATATTTTGTTTTCCTCATTCAGTTCTTCTAGATATGGAATAAAAATCTAGGTTGCATACGTCTCGTGTAACCATCATTTTAAAAAATAAATTAAATTTATTTTGACCAGTAAATGAGCAAAATGGAAAAACGTAATTAATGAATGATTCTTTCTATATATTTTAGATCCTGTGCAATTATGAATCTGCTCTTTAGTTAAATACAATGGATTTGAATATTAAATATATATGTAAATTTCACATATATATATATATATATATATATATGCACATGTATATGTAGAAAAAATTGCCAAACTCGAAAACATAAAGTCGAAGTACCAAAACTCCAGAGAAAAAATGGCGGCTCCTCTCAAATCTTTGGCTGCTTTTCTTCTTCTTCTTCTTCTCTGTATGGTTAGTGGAGGTACAAAGAAAAACTCTATGTCCTTCTTCCTTTGATTTCTAATATATACATACACACATAGGGTTTGGATGCATTCGGTTGATTTGGAACCGTTAGTTGATTTTAATCGGTTTGATTCGTTTTGGTTACGATTGGATATAATTAGGTCTATGAAAAATTATATTCGAATAATAATCAAATATAAATTTGATTTGGTTTGGTTTGACTTGATTGTTGTGATATATATAATTCAATTCAGATCGGTTATAACCGGTCAATGAACAAACAAAACTTAAAAAATAATGCATTACAAACAAATAAAAAACATCAAACATTATATGTGTCTCTAAATTAGATTGTCTATACATCACATATAGAATATGGTATGTATGTGTGGTTAATGCATCATATATATATATATATATTGTATATACTAGCGCGTGGGAAACGTAATTAAAACGAAAAAACAGGAAGGGGTTGCACATACAGCGGGATTCAGATCGGGACGGAGAGAACCGGGAGGGAGATAGAGGGAGAAGTGGAGTGGAAAGTGACGGTGACAAACACGTGCGACTGTCTGCAGAAGCACGTGACGCTGTCGTGCAAAGGGTTCAGTCCGGTGAAGAGAGCGGAGCCGTGGCTGATGCTTCAGCGAGGAGACAGTTGCCTTCTGGTCAAAGGAGAGGCTTTGCCCGCCAAAGCTTCCGCTCAGTTCACTTACGCAGGCCAGCCTTACATCTTCAGGCCCATCGGTTCCATGGTGGACCCCAGTTGCAACAAGCCCTGATCTTCATATGATCTGCCTCTCTCTAGTTTTTTTATTTTTTATTTTTTATGAAATGATCCAAAAATAGCTTACTATAAAATACGACACGACAAGGAAGACACGTGTCAATATACATTTGAGAAAATTTTGGGATTGTGAAATTGAGTTTTTGATTTTCGTAATCAAATTTTGACCATCTACGGATATTAACGTCATTCGGTCCACCCAATATTAATAAGGCATCCGACTTAATTACACAAATTCTTACACTAATCTAGAATCATATCGTTTCATTTGAAATTTAAGTTTATTAGTAATTTCAAAGAAATTCAGTTAAGATTTTGTGTAAATATAAACATTTTAAAAAAATAACTCTATCCTCTTATAGAGAGGGAAGACCACCGAAGAGCGAGAAAAAACATTTTTTTTTTGTTATTACAAACAAAGGATTAATTATAACTTTAAAAGTTTTTGGATTTTATGGCCCATTTTGTAAAATGTTACATGGAAGGGAAAGTGTTTTGTTCTTAAAGGCCTTTAAAGGCCCATGACCCTTTTAAAAAAGCAGCGGTTTTAGAAGGCGTTATATAAAAAACAATGCTTTGAAGTGTTTAGCTAAATCTATCTCTATATATAATAGTTGGGTTTAAAGGTATGTGGCAAAGACACCTAGGATATATATCATCGTTCATATATAATTTATTTTAAATTTTTATTTAAAAATCTATTAAATTAATGAATAAATGTACATAAATAATACATTAATAGTTGTAATAAAACATGAAATAAATAATAAAATTAATGGAGGTAAATATACCTCCATATTTTCAAGGTAACGTGTATATATAAAAGTAATGAGGAGTTAACTATTTTGTTTCCTAAATCTATTATTTTCTAATAAATATGATTTATGAGTAGAAAAAAATGTTTAATATATATATATATATATATATATATATATATATGTGTGTGTGAGACTTTTTTCCTCATTTAAACTGAAATCGAAATACAAGCATGTAATAAACATTTGCAGAAAATAGATTATTGAAAAAAAAACCTATATATATATATAATATTTTTTTAACATCCATTTTAGAAACAATTAATAATGATTTTAATAAATATTTTATATTAGTATATTGTTATTGGCCATCATCCATATGGCAATTTATTAATTATCATTGGCCATTTAATAAATAAGTTGCAAAATATTTATATTATCATATCTGTAATATAAAAAAACGAGTAAACATATTATTACAATTAAAAAAAGGATAAATTTTATGTTTATAAGCTTACAATTATATTTTAAATTTATTTGATATCTTTATGATTTTATATTAAAAAAATAATAAAATAAAATATTACATAAAATGAAATGTAGATACATCATCAGTATGCGTGGAAGATTTTTATAATCTAATTGGTTTTTTTCAATCTTAAACTAATAACTAAAAACTAAACAAATAAAACTAAAAGAAAAAACATTTATTATTATAAAAATAACTGAAAAGTAATATAGTATTCCCCAAAAAAACGCTAGTATTCCCACTACTCCACTAATGTTCCACTAACCCACTAATGCGGACAATCCATGTGGAGTGGTAACCCCGACTACGGCGGCGATCCGTAGAGGGTTATTACTATTGGTCGTGTTTTAGTAACCCCGACTACGGCGGCGATCCGTAGAGGGTTACAAAGATATTTTTGGTTTTGTTTTATAAAAGAGTTTTGAGCTACGTCTGAGGAATACTGAATGGTCCTAGAGTCTGAACTCGTTTTAAATAATTGAATAAAGAAAAGATAAGAGAAAAGTTGAAGAAAAATGAGTTTGCTTGAGTTGAATGTTGATTGTATTTGTTTTCTATTTGATTGTCTATATTGGGTACGGAGGCGAGGTTTATAGTCTTGCGACTTCACTGAGCTATTCGCGTAGCTCACCCCTTCCTTTTTTCCCACAGGTGAAAGCTGAAACAGATTGTTTTGGTTGGACTCGATAGTTGCCAGAAACACGAAGAATTTGATTTTCTATTTTTACGAGTTTAGAATTTTAGACTTATGTTATTTTGAATTTCTGCGTCGGAAATGCGTCGTTAATCGGTGTACATGATCTGTCGAAGATTTGCGACAGATATAACTGTAGGTATCGGTCGCATAGACTGTAACGACCCAAAATCCGGTATTTCGGTTATTGATGAATCGTCACTTGGGTTATAAAAAAAAATACGATTTACTCTAAAATCAACCATCAAAATCACATGTCTACAGCGGAAGTCTAAAATAACATAAGTCTAAAATTCTAAACTCGTAAAAATAGAAAATCAAATTCTTCGTGTTTCTGGCAACTATCGAGTCCAACCAAAACAATCTGTTTCAGCTTTCACCTGTGGGAAAAAAGGAAGGGGTGAGCTACGCGAATAGCTCAGTGAAGTCGCAAGACTATAAACCTCGCCTCCGTACCCAACATAGACAATCAAATAGAAAACAAATACAATCAACATTCAACTCAAGCAAACTCATTTTTCTTCAACTTTTCTCTTATCTTTTCTTTATTCAATTATTTAAAACGAGTTCAGACTCTAGGACCATTCAGTAT